AGTGTGAGCTGGGCGCCCTTAGTCCCGAGCTTAGAGGCCTCTCCCAGGAGCCCCTGCCCATTTCTAGGCCAGGCCGCGCTCTGCCGTCTCGCATTGGTATTTACTGACTTCCAGACACAGTCCTCTGTCCTCTTCTAGCTACTCGTGTTTCTGTGTTCACGCACCTGTGGTCTGTTCGCATAAGCAACTGTGGTGATTGACTGCTGTCCTTGTCAGGGCTAGGCAGCTCGAGAGGTGTGACGGTAGCGTGGACCGAGAATGGACGGAGAAGGGGTCCCTCAGGGCATGCTGGAGGGCGAGTATTCGAGAACTCCCCATTTATCTGTGCAACTTTTCTGTGAAAAGAATTATTCCAGAACAAAAAGTTCATTTTGACTTTAAAAGGGATAGGGTGACACCTCTGTCTGTTGGTCATTGTTATTTATTTCTGGGCACCACCTGAGGCCACTCCAGGGCCTCCTGGAGTTGTCTGAGGTGGCATCAGCGGCACACACCCAGCACCCCATGAAGCACTGCGTTGATGCTTGCTCCTAATTTAAAAACTCGTACAAAGAAAGTGATTATTTTTGTCTTTGTAATCCAGGCTCACAAGATCAAGTCAACTTTTGTAGATGGATTACTTGCTTGCATGAAAAAGGTAACTAAAGCTAAAAAAAGATATTTTGATCAGGAATATGGTTTACACATGGGTTCAGACACATGTAGAATTTCTTTAAATAACCTGATATTCCTAAAACTATGAACTACGATTTTGTTATCATTCAGGTCTATAGCATAAGTTGACATTATTCCTTAACATCTCACTTTTACGTGGCAGCTCTGCTGCTGGCCACACACTTTCACATCTGTTTCTGCATCTCTCTTCAGCAGTCGCTTAGGGAGATGTTGTTTTAGTTCATACATGAGGAGTCTGCAGTCAGAGGTGTTCTGTGACTTGTCTGAGGCCACACGGCAACATGCGCAGCCCCACGCTGAGTCCATGCTGAGCCCACGGCGCATTGGCCCACGTGTCCTATTGCGTGGGCTAGGAGAGAATCTCCTTCACCCGTGACCACACGTAGGAGTTTTATGACCCCGAGGACAGTTCGGGTTGGGAGCTCAGGGCAGTGACTCAGGGGTCTCTGGAGTGGAGCAGTGAACGGTGCACGCTGCAGCCGAGAGGCTGACGAGTCCAGTGTGCCTTGACCTCGCGCAGCCTTGTCGGAGTGTAACTGGTTCTCTCTAACTGATGAAGGGCTCCATCTCCTCCACGTGGAACCAGACTGGGACTGTGACCGGGAGGCTGTCAGCCAAGCATCCTGTAAGTCAGCTCCTGTTCAGTGTCCGTGTCTGTGTCTGAACTGAGGTGTCACCTAGCCGTGGGTTTGTTCTTAAGAGGGGATCCCATACTGATCGGTTGTAGGGGGGTCTCTGTTTATTGACTCAGCTAGTATTTATTTAGCGCCTCCCATGTTTGGGGGACTTGGTAGGGGATCAGGACACATGGCCCCACTTGCACAGTGTTGACTTACTGGGGCGTCTTCCTGCCCAGAGCCGCACGCTCCGGTGCTAAGGGCAGGAGGGACGGGTACCTGTTCCCCGCCACCTTGGTTTTCAGATTTGTGCTGGACAGGTGGCTTCGGACTTCTAGAAATGTGTTGAAATATCTGGTGCTCTGATGGCCACCTCCATTTCTTTGTTGCTGTTAAGACTACCTCTGATGAGAGAATCTATAAATGCCCCTGAATTTTATGACGCTGCCTCAGAAGCATTTAACTCAATTAACTGACCAAGTGGGGTTCATCCCAGGGACACAAGGGTGGTTCAACATACGCAAATCAATCAATGCGATACATCACATCAACAAGAGAAAGGACAAAAACCACATGATCATCTCAATCGATGCAGAAAAAGCTTTTGATAAAATTCAACACCCATTTATGATAAAAACTCTCACCAAAGTGGGTGAGGTGGGAACATATCTCAACATAATAAAAGCTATAG